ATGTACAAACCGGACTCCAAAAAAGTTGGGACACTAAACAAATTGTGAATAAAAACTGAATGCAATGATGTGGAGGTGCCAACATCTAATATTTTATTCAGAATAGAACACAAATCACAGATCAAAAGTTTAAACTGAGAGAATGTATTATTTTAAGGGAAAAATCTGTTGTTTCCAAATTTCATGGCGTCAACAAATCCCCAAAAAGTTGGGACAAGTCCATTTTTACCACTGTGTGGCATCCCCCCTTCTTCTTACAACACTCAACAGACGTCTGGGGACAGAGGAGACCAGTTTCTCAAGTTTAGAAATAGGAATGCTCTCCCATTCATGTCTAATACAGGCCTCTAATTGTTCAATCGTCTTGGGCCTTCTTTGTTGCACCTTCCTCTTTATGATGCGCCAAATGTTCTCTATAGGTGAAAGATCTGGACTGCAGTCTGGCCATTTCAGTACCCGGATCCTTCTCCTACGTAGCCATGATGTTGTGATTGCTGCAGAATGTGGTCTGGCATTATCGTGTTGAAAAATGCAGGGTCTTCCCTGAAAGAGATGACGTCTAGATGGGAGCATATGTTGTTCTAGAACCTGAACATAGTTCTCTGCATTAATGGTGCCTTTCCAGACATGCAAGCTGCCCATGCCACAAGCGCTCATGCAACCCCATACCATCAGTGATGCAGGCTTCTGAACGGAGCGTTGATAACAACTTGGGCTATCCTTGTCCTCTCTGGTCCGGATGACATGGCGTCCCAGTGTTCCATAAAGAACTTCAAATCGTGACTCATCTGACCACAGAACAGTCTTCCATTTTGCCACACTCCATTTTAAATGACCCCTGGCCCAGTGCAAACGTCTGAGCTTGTGGAGCTTGCTTAGAAATGGCTTCCTCTTTACACTGTAGAGTTTCAGCTGGCAACGGCGGATGGCACGGTGGATTGTGTTCACTGACAATGCTTTCTGGAAGTATTCCTGAGCCCATTCTGTTATTTCCTTGACAGTGGCATTCCTGTTTGAGGTGCAGTGGCGTTTAAGGGCCCGGAGATCACGAGCATCCAGTAGAGTTTTACGGCCTTGACCCTTACGCACATTGATTGTTCCAGACTCTCTGAATCTTTTGATGATGTTATGCACAGTTGATGATGATAACTTAAAAGTCTTTGCTATTTTACGCTGGGTAACACCATTCTGGTATTGCTGCACTATGTTTCTGCACAACAATGGTGGAATTGGTGATCCTCTTACCATCTTGGCTTCTGAGAGACACTGACACTCTGAGAAGCTCTTTTTATACCCAATCATGTTGTCAATTGACCTAATTAGTGTTAATTGGTCTTCCAGCTGCTCGTTATATGCTCAATTTCCTTTTGCCAGCCACTTATTGCTACTCGTCCCAACTTTTTGGGATTTGTTGACACTGTGAAATTTTGAATCAACATATTTTTCCTTTAAAATGTTACATTTACTCAGATTAAACTTTTGATCTGTCATCTATGTTATATTACGAATAAAATATTGACATTTGTCATCTCCACATCATTGCAATCAGTTTTTATTCACAATTTGTTTAGTGTCCCAAATTTTTTGGAATCCGGTTTGTATATAAAGGTGTTTAAAACCCTCCCCACACTCTTGCAATATTCTAAACAATGTTTCTAAACTCTAAACAATTTAAAAGAGCACAGCATGTCATGATTTCAGCTCTCTGCCTCCTGCTGCACTCTGCCACCAGCCAGCACTCTTGGCCACACCCATATCTCTGCTTCAGAGCAGAGATATGACACGCTGTATGAAGAAGCTTCTCCTGCAGCTTGGGCTGAACACTGGGGCTAAATAATTAAAAATAATTCATTTTGAATAAAAATGTCATGCCGATCGTGCGGCTCATCTATCAATCAACCAATTGTGTATCATGTCCAATCTTATTTTGAAGAAATGCGAAAGAGCGAGTCCGCGAATAACGAACCACCAAGTAGCAAAGGACTACTCTAAACCAGTTTAAATAACTTTTAGTCTGTAACGGAAGAGGAAATTAGGTTCTGTTGAATATCATATTTTTTCAATAATCACTGTAAAAGCTCATTTTGACAGTTTTGACAGGTTATGGTTTGATGATTCTGAGCAGTGTTCAGACTGGGAGTAAATATTCTGTCACTTACACGCAAAGTTAGGGCAAAATGACCTGATTTCCGAAAGACATCCAATTAAACATTACACATTTATTTAAATATTTCATCCATGATGATGACTGATTTATAGCTTTTACAGTTTAAATTAGTGGAATAACAAAAAAACTAAAAGCAAAAGATTAAAATATCTTCAAGTTCAGCTTTAAAACAAACTCTTATTGGAGCTTTCTGAACAGCCAGCTAAAAGTCGATCAGTTGATGCTCTTTGTTTTTTCCTGCAAAAAGTTTCTGTTTTTTTTTTTATTTAATTTTTATTTAAACATTTATGAAGGTATTCTGCTGCTGAGCTCATGAAGATTTTAAAGGGTTTTAGGATTCAAGTCCATCTAGATGTCTTTATATTTTCATCAGCAGTCTTTTTATATATATAGATGTGCGTTGTTTTAAATTTATTTTTGCCTCCAATAGGAAAACGTCTGCATGACAGGCTGCATCATAAGCTCAAAGCAGGACGGATCAGGTTTTATCAGTTCAGGTTCTGTTAGTAAAATTATGCATTTCTCTAGTTCTGCTCACTGTTACTCCATCACTCTGCAGAAACACTTTATTTTTATTTTTATAGAAAAGTAACTTCAAAACAGGTTTATTTTTTTTGTCGTCTCTCGGTCTATTCTAGATTTTTTTGCTACGAGAATCTTAAAAATAAACCTGTAGCTTGTTGAAAGGATGCATTCAGGGAGTTAGACTAATCAAACATCTGGTAACACTTTACAATAAGGTACACAACATTTGCTTAACTACAAGGGAATGCCTAAGGAACGAATCAGGAGCTAATGGGTAGTTAACCAGTACTTACTGGGGAACACACAGTCAAGCCTAATTGTGGGACTACTGGTTTGTTACCTCAAAAACAGAGGATAAATTCTCCATGTGAGTTCTGAATAAACCTTGCACCAGTGAGGTCGCAGCTCGTAATAGACAAAAACATGTTTCCTAGTGATTACTGATTTTATTACCCATTAGCTCCTGATTCGTTCCTCTTTAGTTTCCTTGGTAACTACTCATTAATTAATGATTAGTTCCTCTTCATTTACAATGTAATTACCGGTAACCAGTAGTCCCCTAATAAGGCATGGCTGTGTGTTCCCCAGTAAGTACTGGTTATGAGCTCCTGATTCGTTTCTCTTTGGTTTCCATGTTAACTACCCATTAGTTCCTGATTAGTTCCTCTTCGTTTCCCAGGTAACTAACCAGTAGTCCCCTAATAAGACTTGGCTGTGTGTACCCCAGTAAGTACTGGTTAACTACCTATTAGCTCCTGATTTGTTCCTGAGGTGTTCCCTCATAGTTATTCAAATGTTGTGCACCTTATAGTAAAGTGTTACCAAAAATCTGAAGTTAGATTCATCTTACTTGTCGTCCCAATGCTACAATATTGAGTTAACGAGTAAAACTATTTGCAAATCCAAATTTCTTGGGGCTTTTGATCTCTAAAAAAACTAATTTCTGAACATGATATATTTTTTAAACACTTAAAGGAAAACACTTTGCACTTTGCAAGGAAAAACTATAAAAATATTAACAGAAAAATAGCAGCAGAAATTAAAAAAACAACAGATTAGGAAGAAACTCAAATGATGTATTTGAATCACAGAATAACTGAGCAGAACTGCTGAAGAAGACGTAAGCAGAAGTAAACGTGTTACCTGTAGTAAACGTGTTACCTGTGCTGCTCGGCTCCCTCTCTCTGTCCTCCTCCTCTGCCTGCAGGACGTCAGTGACCAGCGCAGACACAGACGTGTAGTGCTGACCTGCCAGGAGGTACCTGGTCTGGACCAAACTCTCCACCAGGCTCGCCTCAAAGCCCATCTGGAGCACAGTTTGAACCACGGGAGAAAGCATGGCGGATGAAGCTCCCCGACTTCCAACCAAACCTGGAGGACACGAGGAGCGAAGAGGAGGACAATGACAGAACAAACAACTCATTAGTCTGTTTTATGCAAACCCAACCATTAAAAAAACGAATTTGTGTGTCAGTATGTTGCACATTTGAAACCACAGACTTCTTCTTGTATCTCTGCTGTATTGGATTGCTAACGTTCTTTCTTTTTGTTTTACCCTGAAACCACAAGCGCCAATCAAAAGGCTTCCAAAGCACGTGCTAAAAATCCTGTAACAAAAATGAGCTCAGGTAAAAAAAAAAATCAAAAAAATCCCTGTTGCTGTTTTTAGTGGCTGCCAGCTCGGACTACACACTCGAAAGAAAGGAAGACAACCTGCATTCTTCCAGAGGATCTGCTCAGTCGCTGATTTGAGCATTTAAATAAAGCTCATGTATTTTGTGCATCTCATGCATCAAACCTATAATTTAAACTCTAGGATTGAAGGGAAACTCTCCAATCAGGGGCTTGCAGTGCTTCTCTCCTCAGAATGAGCTAATAAGATATTTTGATTCTACAGAATTTACAGCTGTACTGCATCGAGGCAGGACCTCCTCATATTTTATACTCACGGCTTCTTGACAGGATTATAGTTTGCTGATGCTGCTATTTAATGAATAGTCAAGTTTTTTGTATTTTAACTTACTGTTTCTAGAACCAACATCTCCTCCAGTAGAAGTCTGTGATCCACCCTGGAAAGCAAGTTTTTAAAAAATTATTATTTACAATGAAACTCGTAAAAGATGTGCTTTTATTTCTTCATGCGTGGACACACATTTCTACTAGATGCCACCGTGAGCGGACAAGAGGAACGAAGCTCTTACCACAGAGTCGCCCAGGTGGAAATGAGCATCCTGTATGTTGGTGATGTACTCCTGCCCTCTCGACTGGATTAAAAATTCACATCTGAGAAAATACAAAGAAACTTATTTTTACATGTTTGATTACGTTAAACATGTTTATTGTTTGCGTGTATAAACTGCGTGTCTTTATTTATAGAGTATTGTAACAAAGTAAATGTCCAAACTCACATTAATTAAACTTTAACGATCAGCGGCGGTTTTTGAAGTACTCAACAGGTAGGTTCCTCCAAAACTTTTCAGATTTAAGTCATTTCCTAATTTAATCCCAAAGTTTGTGATGCTGAGATCAGAGATTAAAGCGGAGTCAGTGGCACTTTGGGCTCATGTCAAGATTTTTCTGGAATATTTAGATACAATAATCACTGAATCAACATTTAAACCTCGAGGGCAAATCTGTTTAATTACTCATCAAAGTTCATGCTCATTAATCCAGGAATAAATCCAACAATGTTCAGTCAGGTCATCTGGACGGTTTCTTTGTTGCTGAGACATTTTGTCCTTCATCCAAAGGACTTATTCAGTCTGAAGAGCCACCAAACCAAACTGAATCCCACAAACTGTTCACTTCCAGAGTGGAAAAAAAAAGTTTTCTGGCATGGTCTGCCTTAGAGGAGTTGATGGAGAGAGGGCGAGCCCCGGAGCCATTTTACCACCAGCAAACTGGTTTTTTTGTTTCTCCCACTCTTGGGAGTGAGCCGTTTGTGGGATTCAGTTTGGTTTGGTGGCTCCTCAGACTGAATAAGTCCTTTGGATGAAGGATGAAACATCTCAGCAACAAAGAAACCGTCCAGATGATCTGTCTGAACATTGTTGTTTAATTGTTGTTGCTCGCCTACGATCTCATTAACCAGAGAACTAATGTTAACGAACCTTTCAGAAAATAATCATTAACTTCTGAGAGCTTCGGACATCTACGACTCAGAGCTGTCAAAGCCAGCTGTCCTTAAAAAACCCTCCAGTAGTCATAACTGAATCTGTTTTACAGATAATGACCTAAAACTTGCCGCGTTCTTCGCTGAGACGACAAAGAAGAAGCTTTTTGTTTAAAATCTTTCCATCAAGTCTTTGGAGTGAACTCTGTCCGTCTGTTAGCAAAATATCTCACTGGACAGATTTTAATAAAACTTTCAGGAAGAATTCATCTCCTACTACTCAAGATCTTTGCTTGAAACCAAAGCATGGCCTGTTTGTCTGTTAGCAAAATATCTCATAAACCACTGAATGGATTTCAATGAAACTTTCAGAAAGTACTCACTGGATCTACGACTACAACCGATTAACTTTTGGGGTCAACTCAGTTCAAGATGGCTGCCACAGCTCATCAACATTAGCCAACACGTGGTTAAAGCTCATTCAGTTGTACAGCTGTTAATCTATAACTTGACGTGGTAGTAGCTGAGAGTCATTCACAATATGTAATGAGAGCACTAACAGACTGTGTGAGGTCTAAGAGCTCTGACATGTTATGATACTGCACGAGACTGTAACACTTTCAGGTTTGGGATAAAACACATAAAACTCTGTCTCTGTGCAGTGAAGATTTTAGTTTCAAACTCTTGTACGACAGGCAGGGGGTGATATACATTACTTCAAACAATACCAGGCTTTTAATGTATTCAGTCGATGTGGTTAAATTTATCTTTGTCGTTACCGTGGAAACCATTTGGCATGTTCCTGCCAGGGGTCGTCCCCTGGCTCCCAGTTCCTCAGCCCTCCGTCACAGAAAAAACATTTGACGTTGTCACCATGACCTGGGAGTAAATAAAAATAAACAAATAAATAAACAAACAAATAAAAAACAGATGAAATGAGTGTTTGCAGCTCCACCATCAAAGCCAGAACTTTTCGTTCGGCTCCTGCGTTCTCTTGTTCTCAACCAAACAAACAAAGGGCCAAGTGGTACAGGAATATTTCATACATCCCAGAGAATTTTCAACAAAGTGAAACGGATGAAAGTATGCTGCGTGTGTTTGGGTTTTTAAGATGATATTTCATAAAATGAACTCTTGTCAGAGAACGGCCTGAAGCTGTGCTTCTTTAGCAGCCCCAGCTTTGTCCAGTTTGTTCTGTTAACAACATGCTGACTCAGCAGGACAATTGTAGCATGAACTCTGTCACACACAGGAAGTCGCTCCGGCGCTGAATGGCTTCGTATTTACTCAAACGTTCTAATCAGTACTCAGATATTGCTCAAAGGAAACATCGTTTTTACAGCACCTGTGTAGAAAAATCCTGCTCTGGCGAGAACATCAGGCTGGACGGAGGCCTCGGCCGGCCAGTTGTGGAAAGTGGCGAGCCGAGAATCTTCAGCTTCCATCTCCGGATAGACCGCTTGTCCAGCTGTTCCCTGGTCGTCCATCGTCATCCTCTGGAGCTGACTCAACAGCTGGCCGTCCACAGAGTCCGAGGAGCCTGTTTGGAGAGGAATATTGCCCACAGCTCGCCCCAGTGCGAAGCTGCAAGTAGGGAAATGCCGCTTATGCTCAGCATCTGGATTATCCCCCGGCACCCAGTATCTTAAAATCCCCCCACAGCAGAAACACTGGACTTCATCCCTGCGGCCTAAAAAGAAAAAGCCTGCCTTGGCCAGGTCTCCAGAGGTCACAGGCGCGTCTGCGGGCCAGTTCTGGAAAGTCCTAAGCCTTTTCCTCTCTTCTCGCATCTGAGGCTCCTTGAGGAGCTGCAGCAAAGTTCTCCTGTCATCCGTCATTCTGCAGGGTGTGGGCTTTTCTCTCTCTCTTTGTCCTGTGCCTGGCATCCCTTTTGCGGTCCATAGTGGAGCGCACACTGAAGGTGAGTGCAGAACAACAGCTGAAATAACATGACCAGGTGCTGGGGGTCCTGCGCAGCAGCCGACAGGAGACTGTTTTCCAGAAAATCCTCTAGCTGCCAGAATGTATGCTCATTGATTCTTGAATGAATGGCAGCCTGAACAGGGCTGCTCAGCCTCCTGCGGGGATAGGGAATCATTTCAGGTGTTTGCCGCAGCTTAAAAACTCTGAAAGGGTCAGTAGAGTCAATGAAAAATCTTGACAAATAAAGATGCATAAAAAAAACTCGAACACGGTAAATTATCCCTTTTATATGTAAATTTTTATGAAAAAAATGTTAAGACAATACCTTTTTATTCAATTTTCCTACACTTATGAGGCTATCGATGGCTAAAACATAAAATTTCTGTTGTGATCCAATAATACAAAAGTTTATTTTTACATACTTATTTGTGGTATTTGCTGTAAAGATGTTAACAATTTCTAATGTTTTATATGGCAAGCATCTCTGTGTGGCTGTGATCATCTGAAGCTGACCAAGTCTGTAACTTTGTAATCTTAAATAACTATCCTTGAGATGATGTCAAAGAGAAGCAAAGTCTAAACATGATGAACAAATGATGTTAAAGTTGCCTTTTTTTGTGTAGGTGAATCAAACGTTTAAAAATCGGATGGTTTAAACTCGTTTGTATCTTTGCCTCCCCCTGGTGGTGAAAACGTGAAACTGCTACAGTGCACTGTTAGTTCAGTCTAAAGGATTTTAAACTCTGACCTTTTACCAGGCATGATGAAATAGCTGTTCATTCTTATGCATTTAGTTTCACTCTTCTGTGTCTCAAGCATGAGATCAAAACACTCACTACAGATTTCAGAATAATCATGGTCAGTCAGGGTTTAAATCTGTGATTTTAAATACGTTGAAAAGAGATGTATGCAGGCCAGATGTGTGCCCTCCGATGCGTTCTGTGGCCTTATCAAACCAGCATTTAAATTTCACAGAGCTCCACATGAGAGCTGAGCCCAAGTGAACTGTCAAAGGGCTCTTAAAGGTCCTCCAGAAAGCCACACACAGTCTTCTGACTCCTGCTGGTCCTGCCTGCAGCTGAGATAATGTCAAAAAATATATGGTGAGTTGCAAAACCCAACAAGTCCAAAAACTCTTAATGCTTGATATAAACATGACAACAGCATTAAAATGTTATTTACCAGAATGCCAAAATGGGAGAAAATGTAATTTCTCAAAGAAAATCTGAGATTTCTGATGATATGACAGAAAGTACAACAAGGTTTCATAAAGGAAAATAATAAAATATTAAACCGTAACATGCTTTTGTAAAAATCATTAAATTTGAGTCTTTCTGATTTAGAGTCATTTTTTAAACATAAGTATGAGTTTTGTTTGTGGTGTTGTGGTTTTATTGTGTTTTATAAACTGTTGTGCTTTCTGCTGCTGCTTCCTAAAATTATAAATAATTTGTAAAGAAACATTTTGTTATGTTGTGTGTTTTCTAAAATTGTGCGCGTTTTAGATGAGTTGCTGTCTGTGCTGTTGGGTCAAGGTTCCTCAGTGCAGAACCACAGAAGCATCCTTTTTATTATTCAGCTAAAAAAAAGATATTTTCATTTTGCTGCATAGCTTTCATTTTTTAAAAAAAAATAAAATACACAAAAAATACTGTTCAACAAAATGTGTGGACGATTTGGAGTGTGCTAATGTTGCAAGGTGTGGACAAACTTAGCAAGAAGAAGAAGAAGAAGAAAAAAATAAAACTGGCCATCAATAAAGTTGATGCAAAACCATGAGGAAAGCCAGTCCTTTTAGACTTCATGGCTCAGACATACCTTACAGCAGAAACATCATGCCAAGTTTAAACCGGTTGCAGAAAGTTGGAGTTTAAATGGATGAACTTGAATTTTGTATTTTTTACGGGTTTTTAAATAATTGAAGTTTAACATTTAATCTTTTTGGAGATTTCCACACCAAACAAGTTGATGATGTCACACTAATTTTCAAAAGGTCAAAAAATAAAGAAACTCTTTATTTGTCCATAACTCTTTTTGGAAAATTTACATTTTTTTCTTCTTCTTTCGGCTGCTCCCTTCTTCAGGGGTCGCCACAGCAAACTAACTCGCATGAAGACTTGGTAATTGTTTTTTACGCTGGATGTCCTTCCTGATGCGACCGCAGACCACTGAGCTACCACATCCCTCTGTGTGGAGCAGAGAGCTGCTATAAGGCACCTGGAGGAGCAGACGGTGGGGGTTAAAGATCTTGCTCAAGGGCCCAGAGTGCATGGGACAAATGAGAGTGGAGGCAGGTGTGGGTGCTTCATCTTTCTCACCCACATTTTTGATGTTGTCGATATGGGGCAGCACGGTAGAGCTGCTGCCTCTCAGCGAGCAGGTCCCCGGTTCAAATCCCGGTCCAGGGGCCTTCCTGGGTGGAGTTTGCATGTTCTCTCCGTGCATGCGTGGGTTTTCTCCGGGTGCTCCAGTTTCCTCCCACAGACCAAAAACATGCATGTTAGGCTGATTGGTAACTCTAAATTGTCCCTAGGTGTGAGTGAGAGACTGAATGTTTGTTTGTCTCGTTTGTCTCTGTGTGTCTCTGTGATGGACTTGCGATCCATCCAGGGTGTCCCCCGCCCCTCGCACAGTGATTGCTGGACATGGGCACCGGCGACCCCCGTGACCCAAAATGGAAGAAGCGGGTAAAAGATAATGGATGGATGGACGGTATGTGGAGTTGAACCGGCAACCTTCTGATCACAAGCCCACCTTCTCTAACCTCTGCGCCACCACTTCATTTTGAAACACTGAAAAATAAAACATTACAATGAAGACATTTCTGTCTACGTTCACCCGGTGTTTCCGTCACTGCTGACAAATTACAGCGGTGGTCCTCGAGGACCACTGTCCTGCATGTTTTAGATGTTTCTTTGCTTTGACACGCCTGATTTGAATGAACGATTAACAGATGAATGAACGATTAACAGGATTCTGCATCTAAAACATGCAGGACAGTGGTCCTCGAGGACCAGGATTGAGGGAGACTGAATTACAGTACATTTTAACTCCATCCATCATCTTTACCCGCTTCGTCCTTTTTGGGTTGCAGGGGTCGCTGGTGCTCGTGCCCAGCCATCACTGTGCGAGACGCAGGGGACACCCTGGACAGGTCTCCAGTCCATCACAGGGACACATAGAGAGACAAAATAGACAAACAACCATTCACTCTCTCACTCACACCTAGGGACAAGTTAGAGTTACCAATCAGCCTAACATGCATGTTTTTGGTCTGTGGAAAGAAACCAGAGTACACAGGGAAAACCCACACATGCACGGAGAGAACATGCAAACTCCACCCAGAAAGACCCCCAGACCGGGACTTGAACCAGGGTCACCTGCTCGCTGAGAGGCAGCAGCTCTACCAGTTGCGCCTCCGTGCTCAAAACGTAACTGAAAAGTGTATTTTACCTAAATTCTGAATACAACTCAGTAGAATTATTATTATTTTATCTTCATGTTTGATCATCAAGATTCTTCTCCTTTCGGTTCGAGAATTTGTAAGATCTAACTTGTAGGAAGTGTTTGAGGCTTACTTTTTAGTCTGCATTTATTTCTGTCTCTTTGCTTCCAGGTAGTGAGCCACTGGCATCAGCTTAAACTCTTTTTCTTTTCTTTTTTTAAAATCTTTGCTCCCTTTACATTACATCAAAATGCAATTTGTACTTTTTTAATTTGTAATTAACCTTTCCCCCCTCGTGACGTGTTCAGTTCATTCATTTGTGATTTGGGCCTAAGGGCCACCGTACTAACATTTAAGAGACCAGTAAGCTTGTTTACCGTAAATAACAGAATTTATGAGTCACTTTTCCTGACGAGGAGGATGCTAAAAGTTTTGCCACCCCGCGGGGAACTCGGCGAACTACAGCGGCGTCTCAGAGCCCGGATGGAGCAGCCATTGGGGAAGTGTTCGGGGCTTTAACGTAACTGAGGAGCGCTCTCTCTGTGGAATTAAAAAAAAAAGAGACTGAGTAAAAGACAACGAAGACAGAAATACTCAAGATCCACAGGGTGTTACTCGACGACACACGTCCTTACCTCGAAAAACTGAAGTAGGACTTGAAAGCTTTGGGACTCCGTATCCGAGGACTTGAAACTGGAAGTTGGAACAAGATCTCAGCTGAGCCTGCGCTACAACTGCTAGCCTCGCGCTAAGCGGCACTGTTAGCCACACAGCTAACTCTGACTGAGCTGTGAACTTGCTCGCAAATCACGAAGGGTTGAAATTCAGACACAAGCTCGGGCTCCGTGAGAATCCAGGGACTTGCTTAATGAATTATGTCTACCACGAGCATTGACCCTCAGGTATGAAGGACGGCGTGCCTCGCCAGTGTCTGCTAACGATTTAATGGGCTACGGCTATGCCTCGGAAGTGCTAAGCTAGCCACTAGCTTCGGCATGTAGCTAGTAGCAAGTTGGATGCATTCCGTGAATTTTATTAATTTTTTTTAATTGTGGACGTTTAAGAAAGACGGCATGTTTCCCTCAGCGTGTGTTACGTTGTCATTTGTTACAGAAAATGTGCGTTTTTTTTATCTACATAGTTAAAAAGCATAAACATTGCGGCTAGTTAACGTAAACAGATTTACATAATGGCTCAGGGTAACTTATTGGAAAAGTAACTTTAAGTGGGATGTTTTGCTGCCTCTTTACTACTTTTAATGCTGCGGTTACGTCATTGGCGTTTAGAAAGTCATTAAAGGTGGCAACGTTAAGTGTTTTGTTTTTTGCAAAATGGGCACTGCTTTGAGATTAGTGCCAAAAACACTTGTATCATATTTAAAGCCGAGCGTTTTTGCCTGTAGAGTCTGATACGTGCTTTTATTGTTCTCTTCAGCTTGGCAATACGAGGGTTGCATGATCTATGCACTTATTCCCTGTTTAAACGTGAATAATGTGTAAAAATAAATAACATTTTCTTGTTTTTTCCTTCTTTCTTCTAATCTGGATGCAGAGAACAAAGGGACAAGTGTCTAAAGGTGAGTGACAAAGCACTGATCTGATCATTTTTATTCTTGAACTATCAATATATATTTCCAGCCTAACGTGTTTTGAAATTATTGTAATGGCACGTTGTCGTTCGAAGCTGAAACGAAATGGCCAAATTTGGAATGGGAACGCTTCTCCTGAAAGTTTGTTCATTTCAGGTGTGCAGTATGTGGTGTACACATCTGCTGCTTCACATGAGACTTTGCATTTTATCTTTTACTGTTTCATCTAAAGTAGAGAGGGGTTTAAAAAATATATCTGGTGAGCTTTGAGCTTTATGTACCGATATTTATAAGGTGTACGCATTAGAAGTTATATGAAATAAATCTAATAGATGGTCAAGGAGAACAGGACTGGCTGCTGAGATTTGTTGACATCTGTTCCAAATATCAAAGATGGGGAAATAAACACTACATGGCAGATATCATTGAATTCACACACACCACTGTAAGTGAAACGAGTGCATCACTCCAATTCATTCGTGTTTGAAAATTGATTCAAGTTTAGTAACTTTAGAATGTGACATTGTTTCGTTTTTTTCAGGTTTTTAGTTTCAGGAGCAAGTTGTGGTTTGCTTTGATTCAAATCCAAATCCCGTGCACATTCTTTGTTTCATCAGATTGTTGTATTCAACTGAATCCTGTTACCTGGAGAATTTTACTGTAGCAAGCCACGTCTGTTTATTCCAGGGAAAAGAAAACTGCTAACTTTTATAGTCAGTCACCTACTCTGCTTGCATGTACTGAGATTTCAAACCAGAGTAGGCTCACTTAATCTTTTCATCTTCCCATCTTCCTAGTTGCACGGAAAGATTAACTGATAATTTATTTTTCCCCAGTAAAAGAAAAAAATGTTTGGATGTAGGAGGAGGAAGCTTGACAGGCTGTTTTCAAGTATTCTTTAGTATCACAGAACTGTTTAGCACGGCTTAGAAAATGCTAATTATTTTTGTCATATCCATCCATCCATTATCTTTACCTGCTTCTTCCTTTCTGGATTGGGAGTCACTGGTGCCCATACACAGTCATCGCTGTTCGAGAGGCGGGGTACACCCTGGACAGGTTGCAGGTCCATCACAGAACCACATAGAGACAAATGAGACAACCATTCATTCTCTCACTCATACCTAGAGACAATATAGTTACCAATCAGCCTAACGTGCATGTTTTTGGCCTGTGGGAGGAAACGGGGGTACCCAGAGAAATCCCACGCATGTTAGGCTGAGAGAACATGGAAACTTCACGCAGAAAGGCCCCTGGCCGGGACTCAATCCAGCAACCTTCTAGCTGAGAGGCGATAGTTCTACCAGCTGAGCCTCCTAAAAAGTGTTTGAAAATGTTTGAACTGTAAAAAGTCATTAGAACTTGAACTGAGGCGATTTGGATGTTTTGATTTGTATTGAAAAGTCACAGTGATTTTTTTATGTGCCAAGTGTGTTGTTTGAAACACAGGGCTTCTTTATATCCTAAACAACTGTCACTGCTTTTAAAAATGAATAGTTAAATTTTGTCTATGTCTATGTTTCAGTGCAAAATGGTTCACTACATCAGAAGGAAACTGTCCATGACAACGACTTTGAGCCATACCTCACCGGTCAATCAACTCAGGTAAGGTGTGCTCCTTGTGTTCTGTCATTTTTGAAATCATATTATTTTTAATAAATGTCACAGTATGACAAATGTGCCCACAGTTACTTTTTAATTAACTGTGTTCTACTTTGAAATGTTATCTAAAACAATATTTTGCTTTATGAATAGTAAACAAGAATAGTTTAATTTATTTATCTTAATTACTTTTAAATCAAACATCTAAGGCACTTTCCATTGTTTGCACATGATTTCAGAACAACAGCTATCAGTCCATCACCGATCCCTACCTGTCAAGCTACTATGCTCCCTCCATTGGATTTCCGTACCCGCTAAGTGAGGCCCCATGGTCCACAGGTGGAGACCCCCCTATTCCATACCTCACGCCCTATGGACCTTTGAGTAATGGAGATCATCATTTCATGCCGGACACGGTGTTTGGCCAACCAGGTGGACTGGGAAGCAGTATCTACCCCCACAGGTTTAACTTTTTTCCTGAAAACCCTGCCTTCTCTGCTTGGGGAACAAGTGGCTCTCAGGGCCAGCAGACTCAAAGCTCAGCATACGGTGGCAGCTATAGTTATCCTCCCAGCTCCCTGGGGGGCACTCTGGTGCCTGATGGTCAGACAGGCTTTCACAATGACACCCTGAACAAAGCCCCTGGCATGAACAGCCTGGAACAGGGTATGGTTGGGTTGAAGATTGGAGGGGATGTCCCTGGTCAGGGGTCAGGAGTCAAAGCTGTGGGATCTGTGATCGGCGGACCTGCGGTGGCAGCCACGGGAAATGGCGCCACACCTATTGGAATGCCTCCACCTAAACCCACCTCTTGGGCCGCCATTGCTAGCAAACCTGCCAAACCACAGCAGCTGAAAGCTAAGGTGAAGCCAGGGATGCCCAATCCAGGGGGAGCTCTTCCCCCACCACCCATCAAACACAACATGAACATTGGGACCTGGGACAAGGGCCCAGTGACTAAGGTAGCTACAGCCCAACTGCAGCAACAGCAGCCACCTCTTGGCCTCCCTCATGCCATGCCACCTCAAGGACCCATGCAGCCTCCTCATCAGTCTTTAGTGCAACCCCAGATGCAACCTATGGCCTTACAGCCCCAACCTCCCCACCACCAGCACCATCAGCCACCACCTCAACCTTACCAAAATCACACCCAGCCACCACAGCCCCAGACCCGTTGGGTTGCACCACGCAACCGGAACCAGGGTTATGGGCAGGGTGGCCCTGGCCAAGATGGAAGTGGTATGATGGGAATGGTTGGTGTTGGGAACAACGGTCCTCAAATGTCTGCTGGTCAGGGACCCAGTGTAGAATCCCACCCGGTGCTGGAAAAGCTGCGTGCCTCCCACAGTTACAACCCCAAGGACTTCGACTGGAACCTGAAGAATGGTCGTGTCTTCATCATTAAGAGCTACTCTGAGGATGATATTCATCGCTCCATCAAGTATTCCATCTGGTGCAGCACGGAGCATGGCAACAAGCGGCTGGACTCAGCCTTCCGGGCCATGAATGCTAAAGGTCCGGTGTACCTGCTCTTCAGTGTCAACGGCAGTGGTCATTTCTGTGGTGTGGCAGAAATGCATTCACCAGTGGACTATGGGACCAGTGCTGGTGTTTGGGCACAGGACAAGTGGAAGGGCAAGTTTGACGTGGACTGGTTGTTTGTTAAGGACGTGCCTAACAGCCAGCTGCGCCACATTCGCCTGGAAAACAACGACAACAAGCCGGTGACCAACTCCCGTGATACTCAGGAGGTTCCTCTGGAGAAGGCCAAGCAGGTGCTCAAGATCATCGCCACCTACAAACATACCACCTCCATCTTTGATGACTTCTCCCATTATGAGAAGAGGCAGGAAGAGGAAGAGGAGGTGCGCAAGGTGTGTTTAGTAATTCAACCATGTGACTAAATATATAAAGGGGTTTTATTAATATTTAAATATTCCGTGTCTGCTTTGGAGCGACAAATAATTTTTGTTTCTGTTTTGCCTCATTTGTTGTTTTTGACAGACTTTTGAACCTGCTCAGATACAGAACCGTTCTCGGTTCGATCAGGTAAGAACCGTCAGGTTTTCTTAATAGATTTTTCTTTACAGAATGTTTTAACTTTTAGTAAAAATTTAGTTAAATAGTAGCCATGCTAAAAAATCCAGGTAGAAAAATCTAACAAAGTTAGTTCAGATCCTCTGGATGGATAAAAAAAAAAAAAAACTTGTTGAAATGTTTCGTCTTTTATCCAGAAGACTTCTTCAGTCTGAGGAGCTGCAATAAACTCAGTCTTATGATAGTAGATCAGTTTGTTGTTGACATCCAACTAGCTATTCAAGCTAAAGGAGGACCATCAGCCTAACGACTGATCGTTAGTGCTCTGATGGCCGCTTGCTATTCACAGAGGGCTGAGTGATACTAGCAATAACAGCATTGTAACAGGTGACAATTGGAAATGGAGGCCTCCGCCCCTACTTAATAATGTGCGGGTTCTCTTCACAAAGATGGCTTCCGTCACTCCTCTCTCCAACCAACGTTCCAAGCATGTGCACATCTTCATCCCTGAAGGAGTGACCGCTGGCCTGGAGATGAGTGTGAACCACAGCGTCCTGGCCTGATGATGTTGTTAGTTTAATAGTGTTTAAATAGATGAAAAATAAATCTAGTGTTTGGTCACTGTTTTTATTACATTGACCTGAATAAGTGCAGAAATAAGAATCCTGTACTTTGATGACAGTCACATCATTAAAATAATTCTTTTTTTTCTTGTTTTCCCCAACAGGAGCGCCCAAACAGGAATAAACAATAGAAGACTTTTATTCTTGGCTTGATGATTTACACTAGGACTCAATTTAAAGACAGAAGAATACGAAAAAGCAAACAAGCCCTTTTTTTTTTTTTTTCTCCTCCTCGTTTTTTTTATTTAATCCCGGTGATATTGCACCATCGTCAAGACTTCTGTTTTGTTTTCCTCATCTGCCACTGATTTTTGTGCATCGATATCGATAACGCGCTGATTAAATGTATTACCCATCAGCCACCACTCTAGTTTTTCCCCCCTGCTCCATCATGTACTCTCCTCTCACCTGACGGGTTTTCTCTCGCGCGCCTCCTCACCTCGCTCCTCTTTCAATTGAATCAGGGTTTGACTGCACCACGAAGAAGAAAAGAAATCTGCCACTTTATATTTCAGTACAATCAGGAACGGATGTGTCATGCACCTATTTGCCATTTGGGGGCAACGTTGCCATGCTTTATCTGTTAACTGTGCCAACAGGGTTGGAGGATCCTAAAGGCCACGTCGGACTGGGATAGTAAAACTTCAATGGTTTATGTATTTTTCATTCAGATCAACAAAATCTCTATTTTCTGGCTTACTACTGACAATTTTCATTTCCAAAACGTTTCTTCTGGAGCCTTATCCTTTTTAAAAAAATTATTATTATTATTATCAGTGACTCTTCAAAAGAACTGCTCAAACACTGCTGGAGAAATCAGGGATAGTGTGAAGTCACGCGGGACTTGAAACATTTCAGAGGAAGTGCTAAAGCTTCTTGGCGAGAACTAACAGATGCGTCCTCCTCAACCAGAACTCTCACGGTTTAAATCAAAATGAACTGTACTGAATCAGCTTTCAAACCCCTCATTTGTTTTGGTGTTTGTCCTTAAAGGAAGCGTCTTGTGGATGTTTCAACGGGAGATTCTGTTTATGTACACAACCCAGTCTGAGAGAATCGTCACGCCCACCATCGTCTTTATTAGATTTATGTAATGGTGTAACGGTTTCCTTGATTAAATTGTTGCTATTGATTTAGACTTTTACTTTCACTAAAGGGGTAAGGGTTCACACGTTTGTCCATTCACCGTCATTCTGTCTTAATCCTTGTTTGTGTTTTTTTTCCTTGAATTTGTAATGCTAAGCTTTAATGTAGGAGTCTATATATTCATGGAGAAAGCCTAAAAAAAAATGTATAATCTAAAAATTAATGTAACTGATTTACTATCCAGTAAGAAAAACTGAGAATGAAATATGGTTTCCGTGTGTTTCTTTTGGTTTTAATTCTAGTTTGTTCCAGCTTTGAACTATTAATTATGATACCGCAAGTCCTGGGGTATATTAAAAATAAATAAATTGGAAACATTAAAAGATAAAATGAAACGTTTGTGCCCGTGCATGACAAAATAATGCAGTCAGCTGGAGATGTTGAAGCCAGTGTCCTCTGGTTCTTGCCTTTAAGGTCACAGTGCTGTTTACCAGATTAGAAAATAGCAGGGATTCTGAGTTGGTGTTGCTCATTTAGCAACTTCAAAGCTCAAATGCAGCATCTGAGATGAGTGGGTTCTCTCTCCTTTAATTACTTTGTGATTGTTGCCTCGATAGTCTGTGGCTCGCAGGGATCCTCTTGACACAAAATATTGCTCACGTCGTCTGCTCTTTTTCATTTGTGTAACGCTGTAAGTTTAATCTGATGTAGCCTCATATAAACCAGATTCCCATTTGTTTGTTTTTTTTTTGTTTGTTTTTCATCTGAACTGAAACAAATTACGTTGTCACCCATTTTAACTAATTGTGACCGAGGCTAGATGTTTGTACGTTCAGGTTAGATGATGTATATTCTGTGAACTCTTCTGTTTATCTATTTACCCAGGTTTGAACTTTGCTCTCATACCAGTGAGATGGTGTACACACAATGCACTTTGCTAATGTTGTTCAAGTATGAACCCACGGAGGAGGTACATTTGTGTTCTTACCTGGCCAGTGTATGCCCTGTAATGACCTCTAATGGTAGCTTCTGTTCTCCATCTTTTTTACCTGCACTAACCGAAGGCTAGTTTGATTCAAGCAATATGGTGGACCTGTCTGTACGGACGCGTTCATCTTCAACTCGACGTGCTGTGTAGAGCTGGGCGGAGGTGAGAAGCTAAAGGACGTCGCCGAGGATTTATTCTTTTTTCCCCTCAGGAAGCGTTAACTGGTTGTGACTATGGTTTAGGGCTCATACGCATTGGGTAATAAATGTAAGATGTTTAATTCAGGGCTGTCTGGTGAGCCTTGAGATTCAACATTGCTAAAGCATCCATTACACAAAATACTAAACTGATTATCTCTAAAAGGCCTCAACTGTAGTGGACACACTGTTCAAATAGAAGAAATCAAGCCTTAATAAACTGTCAGTTCAGAAATTACTGTCGTCATCTGGTGAATTTTCTTTTCGCTCAAACTGTTTTATTTTCACAGCTACAACTACACGAGTTAAACTGCAGCATTTCAGATTTGAATCAATATACTTGCCAGGAGGAGGGTCGTTTATGATAATCCAGTTTAATCTGACGCTGTAAATGTTCTCTTTGAAGAAGTGATGTAAAAACAAAACAAAATGCTGGTCCAGTGGGAGCTCTCCGTGGTGCTGACATGTTCTTTTGGACCAACTGCAGTCACAAAAACTGACCAAAGACCTCAATAGTTTCAAGTTTTCACATGATCTAAAATAAATGGCTTGAACGCCATTCAAGATGTTTGATGTTCCTGAATCTTTTTTTTTTTTTTTTTTTAGGTCAGCAAGGATGTTCTGCAGCACAACGAGTTCATTTTTACCACGAGCAAAGCTCTTTCAAAGTGTTGGCGTGTCCAAGAACAAACCTTCAGGAAAAAAATGATGATGGGCACAAACTGATGGCAGCTCAGACTTTATTTTGTCACGAGAATTTACAGAACAGGAAAGATGACAAAAACATTTAATATCAGACAGGATTTACATTCTTTACATTTGAAGTGCTTCTCTGGAATATATATACCATCAAATATATTAATAAGTAAATATGTAATAAGTATTCATTTTTTGAATTCTTTAAAGAATTGTTTTATTCCCAGGATAATCTAGGAAGTAACCCTACCCCCTGTCCCGGACGAGCCCCCAGTTTAATAAATAAGGCTGGTTACATCACGTCATATTATTGTTTCTTATAGTTTGGTGTTATGCAAACACGATGACTGGATTTGAAAATCTAATTTGAACTAATCAATGGCTGACGGAGGACAACGCCAATATCTTTTTTTTCCCCTCAGAGTATTGAGGATTTGTTCAGCCAACATGAGACATAATTCTTTCATATAGACTGGCCACAACAGACATGCCTAGGTTGAGATTGTTTACATTGGCTGGAAAACGTTTTAGTATCAACCAAAAAAATCCAAACACATCTTTGGATCTAACAGTACTTGTCCAACCACTATGATACAACAAATGCAATCTTAAAATATTTCAAGAACGGTCGATGAGCATGGTGACAAAATTAAATAAGTCATAAATGTTACATTTCATTATTATGTATTTATTCATTTAATGTGGTCACATTCCGTCCTCCATAAAAGTGGTGGCTTTAAGTCGTTTTTTTAAGTAAAACTAATTTGAAACAATTTTGAAGTGCTTGAGGATGAACAGCGCTGTGTTCCAGTTTCAGAGGTGTACTGTCACATGGTGGCCACCAGGTGGCAGTAAAGCACGCACTGCATCTGAATGCAGATGCTGTCGGCTCGTCTCAGCCTCTGTGGGCCTCAGCTTTGACATCCAGTGAAGGTGTGCTGGAATGGGATGTCCCTAAGCCTGATTATATTTATGAGTGGTGTGTCCAAACGCGCCGCTCTAATGGCGACCTTACTTTTAGAGGAATATTCAATTAAAAGGACAAGCTGTCACAACCGTGATTGCTTCCACTATCAAACATGCAGTTTATGTTTCCCTCGAGCAGAAAGAATGAGAAATGAATTGTCCATTTAGTTCATTCCTCACCTGAATTTAACGATCTTTTTATTAGACTTCATATTAGCAACTTTAAGTCTTTTAAATCTTGTTTATAGTGCACGTGCCGATCAGCAGATTTTCACATTGACCTACAGGCGCACTTCAGAGCGTCATGAACACCTTCCCCAAATCCTAAAATAAAAAGCAGGTAAAGATGCATCAAATAAAAGCTTTTATTTACCTGATTCCAAATGTTCTGCTCTTTGTTTTAAGCCTGGAGGTGGATGGCCACTTTTGGAAAGGCTGCATTTTAAAAATTATTTTAATTATTGTTGCCATTCCGGTTTAGATTCGAATCTATTTTTCTAAAATGCTCCCACTTTACAGCTGATGATGAAACTCACTTCATATTATCACGTCATGGACGAAGAACTGAGCGGATAAAACTGAAAGCTGCGCATTGCGCACACACACACACTTACACACACACACACTGGTGCATCCACTCTTTCCCCAGAGCACAAACAAACAAACAAAGTGCTGCTCTGATTGGCAGTCAGGGCCTGTTTCTGTAGGATTAAGGGGTCAGCCTCCGCCTGCGGCCTGGGGATATTTGGAAAGAATGAAAAAAAAAAAGAAATAGTGGAAGTGATGCTGTAGATTCCTCTCTTGGCATTCACCGCGTGCCTTAATTGTATGGACATTAAATCAAGGTCCGCTGTGAACACGCAGAGTGACAACCCTTTCAAACCTCCAAACCTTCCGCCGAAAGGACAATCTCATGCGCGTCTGCGTCTAACAGCAGCTCCCCGTTTCCGAGCGGGAGCGCGCGCGTGCACGTACACACACTCCCACATACACACAAGCCGATTTGCATCACAGTCACGCGCGCAAACACTCGTTTAGACCCTTAAAATCTCAAAGCGGATTTACAGCAAAGAAGCGGTAACTGCGCCTCTGCGGCTTCCACGCGAAGAAATATTGATATTGCTGCGCCACAGCCACAACACAATACACCCCCCCCCCCCCACACACACACACACACACGCACGCACATCGATCATCACATCGTTAAAAGACCCCAATTCAAACCGAGTCTGTCCTCTGATTCCTGATTCGGTGGATTGTGCGTCTTTACGCATCCGATACCTCGCCTGCAAATGACAGCTCGAGCTGCGTAGCCTCTTCTCTCACCTCGTTGTTCCTCAGAACAGCCGCTCAAATTACATACAACAGTCCCCCCCCACCCCCACCCCTCCAAAAAGGGGGGGAAAAAACCTAACTAAAAACTAAAAAAGGCCAGACAAGCAGCAGCGCTGGCCGCGCGCCACGGCGGCTTGGAGCGCTCCGTCCCTCGGCGCACAGAGCTCTGGATGTTCCTGAACTTGGCTCGGATGCAGTTCCTGGACTCGTCCACGATCAACGCCCTCGGACAAAACGCGCAATGCCTCCTCTCTCCTCTCATCCAGCTGACACTACAGATGGCAGTTTTTTTTTTTTTTTTTTTTTGGTTTTGTTTTCTACATGATGTCACAGCGGGTCTTTAAAAACGCCAAGTCTCTGTCGCTCAGTCTGAAGGAGGTTTCATTTCTTCTGTCAGGGTGGGGAGAAAAACGGCTTCTTGGTCTTCATCAGAGTCCTTTCTTCAGCAGGAGTCTCTCGGTTCCAATCGTTGTGTTTAATCTGACCCATTTCAAACCAAATCCAGTCCTGGAAGCGCACCCCCACCCCCCACTCTCTGTGATCCACCGTCTCCCAGATTAGAGCGCCCCTCTCTTCCCATCCGAGACAATTGTGAGTCTCTGCTGATTGGGCTTCCGCGCAAGAGGATTACATGGGCGCACTATGACGTCATGAGCCTCGGCCCAAGCCGTCCATACCCCCCACCCCCCAACCTCCTCCATTAAAACCAAATCCTCATCAGCCTCAAACGTCCTTGAAACCACCTACCTGACTCTGCAGCGCGCCATGCATGTGGCATCTGTGCAGAAGCTTCCATTTCTAATCCGCTTTACTGACAAAAGCAAGCATAAAATAAATAAATAAAACATAAAATATGATTTTTTTTTTATTTGTGGGGAGGGGATGGGGGGGGGTGGCAACAACCTCAGTTGTGTCTCGAGTTTAACAGTCTGACCTCGTTTCCAAACGCACCAAATCACTGTTTTCTCCCCCAAACCGCATCAACCTTAAACCCTGCAGCCATGAAATGATATTTTTCTGAATGTCCTGTTTTAGGTGTTCACTAAAGCAAACGGAGCATGTTAAAGTTAAAGTTAGTCATCTCAG